CCCCTTTTCCACCCCCTCCCCCTCTTTTCCTGAAATAACAAAACTGCTGTTAAAATATTTAATAAAAGTGGTGGAACAAACTGAACGAGGTCATATGAGCGGAAGGGACACATTAATTTAAACAGTTTCAGTTTGGTAGGAATTAATTTTGAATTTTGCCCGGGTGGTCGCTGAAGCCTATTCTTACCGCTTTTGGACCACCAGGGATCTTTAACATGCACAACATGCAGTCGGGACTGCCTAGATTTGTTGCCCTTATCCGAGAAGGCAAAGTGTTAGATCTTATCTATCCTAAGATCAGGGGTGTAGCTGACAATACTATACAATGATCAGAACCCTCTGTCCAACCAGGTCTGGCCACAGAGTCGCGCGGTGAAGAGCAAACTTGGAGACCCGTCAACAGGTATCGGAGACGGATATCTGGTGAGTACAGGCAATTGTGGGGCATCGCGGTGAAATCAGGCGCTCGTCAAAGTAATGTAATCATAGAAACCGGCCTTTTCGGACCTTTGAGGCTTTTTTTTTTTTCGAATTTTCTTCTTTTTTTGGGGGGTCAAAACCTTTTTTGTTTATCATAATGTATTATATATTTATGTATGGATTTTACTGGGAAAATGTTGACGAAAGGCACTTGAATTGTAAATTTTGCAGTTTTCAAGGATACTCAAGCTTTAGAAGTCACAGAAGTTTGGTGGCCATTTTCTTGTTGAAATTACCTCTGACCCCAGTTGACCCCCACCTTCTTTAATAGAAATATCTCGACGATGGACGGGGATTTTTATTAAAACAAGATACAAAATGAACAAGCTTTAAGATGATACCAATAACCCCATATGCCCCTGTGGTGTCCTTATGTGGGTTCATTATGGTATGCTTATTAAACTGAAACAAACAGAGTTCACGCCAGGTGGGAATGGGCACTAGGCCTTAGGTAGCGAAAGATCTTGTCTGTATGTTAGTGTTTCAGCGCCTATAAACGGCTGCTTGCACTGCAGGCTACCCAGGAAGCTGATGTTGTTTCAGTGTGCTCTCAGATCTGCTGGGGTAATGGTATAGATTGTGAAGCTCATAGAGCTTGCAGTTGAGCGGGGATTAGCGATATACAAATGCTATTTATTATTACCTGAGGGAGCGGTACCCGGAAGCCCAGAGCATGGACAAAGAACAAGAGACAACCGACACAACAGCTCCTTTTTAGAACCACGGTACCTATCCGGAGACGTCTCCAACGGAGATAGACCAATCAAAATGCTTTGCACTTCTGGACCAAGTGAAAAAAAATCTGGGGGTTTACAGGGTGGCATCCCCCCCCCCCCCCCCCCCCCCCCCCCGTTTCAACTCATAATTTGATATTTTGCAGTTTGGTTTGAAATGTTCTTGAAAATAACTGATTTGCGACAGCATTAGTGGCTATATGTGATCTGCAGCAAGCAATACGCAGTTTGACACCCTCCCCCCCCCCCAAAAAAAAAAAAAGCAGTACATGCATCTGTGTGCTGGGATACGCCTCCGAATAGTTCCTGGGTGCTCGCCGGAGACGTCTCCGAATATCTTCTGCCCCAAAATTGACAAGCACCTGATTCCACCACGTTTTGACACATTAAAAAACCTCCTGGTTTACAAATATAGGAACATTTACTTCCTGGTTTAGAAAAACAGAAACATTTACTTCCTGGTTTAGAAAAACAGAAACATTTACTTCCTGGTTTAGAAAAACAGAAACATTTACTGGATGATTCATTTGTTACGGATACAGTCAATTTTGACTTGTGCATTGTCATTTGGTTTATATTCAAGTTAATGATAACATTGAAATAAAACAGCACAAGGTTTCGGAGCAAATCCTGTTTTCCGCGGTTTATTCATATTTGGTGGATTCGGGTAATAAAGTAAGATTCGAACCTCAGAAGTTTGAGGCTCGACGTAAGGGTCGAATATTACTTTATTACCAAAAATCCATCAAATCCGAATAAAACAAAACAAACCGGAAATTTGTCCTTTCTGAGGTGCGTGAGAGCAGAAAGAAAAAGCACTAGTAAAAACTTCAACATTTAGAGGAATGCGCAACTTTAATGTGAATCCTATAGGACATGGACATGAAAAGGGAAGACCCGGCTTTCCTGTAATCCCAGCAGTATTGAACAGATATTATTTTACACATCATTTTATTCCATATTATAGCCCCTTAGCAGGGGCGGCTCGAGGGGCTAAATGTGGACGTGCACAATTAAGCTATCTCATGTTGAAGATAGTCAAGGAAATAATAATGGTAAATGAGACGATGTATAATTTTACGTTCTTTAGGTTGGTGAGGGAGGACCTCGTGCTTTTATTTTTATTCTTTTTTACTTGTCGCTTTGATTTCTAGTACTAAATCTGTCTGTTAGCTAAACATCAATTTCGTTCGTCCTGTATTGGAACTGAACACTCAAGTAATAACTTTCACCACTCCACTACAAAACCATTCCAAGGCACAACTCATACAACGGTCGGTCACGTTAACCTCCCTCAGGTTCACGTTCACAGAGTCACTTCAAATAGGCTAGTGGCAAGACAGCTAATGAACTAATCACAATTCACTTGAGCACTCAGCTGGATTGCTCCGGTGCTCACATAATATTGGCAAAGAATAGCGTACGGTCTGTCGCGTTTATTTTTAGACTGCCTATTGTGGGCTATGTTTCGGCACTCTTCGGCAGGAGCACATTTGAGATGTGCCTTCTTATTAATATTAAGGTTCCGCCAAACTCGCTACGAGTATCGTCATCGCTTGGGTTATCCACAAGAGCGATTTATAGGTCAGATCACACTGTTGAATATCCTTTTATGTTTAACTAAAGCGCGTGGACTTTGGCATAGCATAGTAGATGTTTTACGGCGCTATAGACACAGAAATGACAGTTATGGCGCCAGTTAGGGCCATTGTTTTGATATAATATTTGGCGGGTGTTTGTTTCTGCATTCTTTTATTTTGTTATTGTGGGTGGTTTACGTAATAGAACTTTTAAAAAATTTGGGCGGCAATGCACGACTGTGCTCTATGGACGAACCGCTTCTGCCCCTTAGCCTTTGCACAAGTGATTTTCTTTTCTTTTTCTTTTCTTTTTCTTTTTTGCTTCTGACAAGTCCTTGATATGAACATATTACGCTATCTCAGAATTACAAAGTTCTATCTGACATTTTTCGCCATTTTGAGTTTCTAAGAACATTAGGTCAGAAATAAAATGCTCTATTTTGCTCCATCAACATCGTAAGATTATTCGGAGACATTATCAAGACATTCAAAGAATTGCATTCGAAAAAGCTTGACATGTTGTGAAACTCAAAAATTTTTATTGTTAAATTTCTCAAAACTAGGCACTGAGCAGACAGAACTTTGTAATTTTGAGGTAGCGAATTAGTCCTTGAATATGTTTGAAATGGTGAAACTACAACAATATTATATGTCGATGAATAGAGTGTTTCTTATTATATTATTTGCGATGTGTGCAGACAAAATGAGTCAATTCACGTATTTTAACCCTGTGGACAAGTGCAAGAAATGTGTAGGTTCAGTTTAGACAGTGAAATGATAAAAGAAAAGGTTTATTTACGTGAGGAAAATGACATCTGTTTTAAGTGTACAAATTTGATGTTTCCATTTCTGGAAAACAACTCCATTCGTGGATGACGAGAAGTACCTCATTTTGTCAGCACGCCTCACATTTGACCACTGTGTATGATGTTAATTTACATAATCAGGTCAGGATTTCGGCCCGACAGAGGAGGGGACACGCATTTTTCGAACATGTGCCACAAGAACTGATGCACATACCGCTGGTATGGTGTGGCAAATGCAGTTAGCGGCGGGAACAAACAAAACAGTCGCAAAATGTGAGACAAGTCAAGTAGGCCTACCTTACAGATGCACTTTGTCCAGCCCGGTGTTTTCCCGCGACTTCAATATAATGGAAGACCAGACACAGATTACACTCACATGGAACGCTGATAGAAGGTTTTTGTCTGTGGCATGCTCACAGTCAGAGATAATTATAGGCAACTGGACCCTTGTTACGTATTGTGAGTATTGCGTGATGTGTGTATGTGTGTGTGTGTGTGTGTGTGTGTGTGTGTGTGTGTGTGTGTGTGTGTGTGTATGTGTGCGCGTGCGTGCGTGTGTGTGGTGTGTAGATGTACGTGTGCGTAATGAAGCGTTCGAATACATAAATAAAAACCTAGTTATCCCTCGGGAACTTAATTGACCAATCACGCACATCCGGGAACTCCACTCTCTGTGGGGCCATCATGGCGGTAGCTGTGACGGCATGTGCGAAATACGATTTCAATTCCTTTTGAGAAGGGAGATCTGAACTAAACCTTTAGGGCCTGTCTTCTGTGAGATATTTACAAGACCTTTCGTTTTCCCTTTCCTCTGTTGGTGACTGTGCAAAGTCCAAGAATCCCAGTTGGGTCCACTGGGTTCCTGTATAGACATTTACTTCTCCAATACAAATTATTTAGCTGAAGAATATATATGAACATCTAACTGTCGCTACCTTAGAATTACAAAGATCTATCTGCTCAATACCCAGTTTTGAGAAATTTGACTTTAAAATGTTTTGAGCTCCAGCATATTCAAATTTTCCGAATGCAATTCTTTGAATATCATGATAACGACTCCGAGTAGTCATACGATTTTGATAGAGCAGATAAAACATTTCGTTTCTGACCCCATAGTCTTAATAACTCAAAACGGCACATCAGGTCAGATAGAACTTTGTAATTCTAAGGTAGCGCTGTGTCTACGTCGTGTCTGGGAAAATAGTCAGCGTGAGCCCTTGTCAACACGGGAGAGTAACACAAATTTTTCACTGGACTCGCATTATGTCTTCTTTTCCTTCTACTTAAAAGGCCATTTTGAAAAACAAACAAACAACAGAACTTGTTTTTCTTTTGTCCATCAGCAAAACCGAAAGACCTCACGTGCAGCGGTCCAGAATTTACAAACAAAAACAATACAGTGTCTGTGACGTGTGTGACCAGTGACATCTTTCCTGAACACCCCCGATGTGTGCTGTACAATCATGTAAGTGTTTGGGGGTTTTTTTTGGGGGGGGGGGGTGGGGTGGGGTGGGGGTGGGGGGATGGGTTAATATACCATTTTTGTAGGGGTACTGGTAAGTTTAGGAATGTATCCAGGCAAATAGGATTAGATCTAAGGCAAAGTCCAAATTTTAATGTTGAATGTGTAAATAGTGAAAATGGAATTTTAAAATATCAAAAGGGGAAAAAATGGCAGACTTTCAAAGATGACAACAGCAACAAAAACAAAAAAATCGCGAGTCTCTGGATGCAAAGGTGATCAAAATGAGTTGGCTTTGTTGAGGACGTGATGTTTTAGAGCACTTAACGAAAGAGGTACAACTCCCTTTTTCATAAAGATTTTTCAATTCGGCTTTCTCCAGAAACTTAAAGCAAGCTACAACATGCGTGCGAATTACTTAATTTTACTTTTACTTTTATCCGCCGCTTATACCCTTTTGGGTGTCGCTGGAAGAAAGAGACGTCTCTCTTTCGCTAGCCAGAGAGCTTGGGTCAGGGAGATGCTGTGGGTGGTTAATGTTTCCCTGACTCCATCTATCCAGGTTTTTCTCGGTCTTCCTCTAGCCTTGTTGCCATCGAATATTTTGATGTAGGCACGTTGTGCTTGATGGTGTATTGGTAATCGTAGGGGATGTCCGAACCATTTGATTCTTTGGTGTTGGATGTGATGCATGACATCATTTGTGCTCACCATTTCTCTGATTACTGAGTTTCTAATTTTGTCTCGCCTGGTCTTGTTCACTGCTTTTCTAAGGTATCGCATTTCACATGTTGTAATTCCTTGCTCTAATGTCTTGTTCGTGGTCCTTGTTTGGCATTGATAGGTGAGGACTGGGATGAATATGGTGTTGATAATTTTGAGTTTCGTTGTCTTGGGGATGTTAGGATGTTTCAGTCGTGGAGTAAGCTGGTAACTAACATCATTGGCCTTTTGTACTCGAGTTTCAATTTCTCTGTTCAGTCGCCCATCCTCTATGAATATACTTCCGAGGAACTTAAATTCTTGGACCTTTCTGAGACTGTTGTTGTTGATGTGTATCCTGAGTGGTTCTGGCTTTCTGCTTACTTTCATTGTCTCTGTTTTGTTGATCTTGATCTTCATGTCATAGTTGTTACATTCTTCGTTTAATCTGGTGGTGTGGTGTTGGAGACTTCGTACATCTTTGTGTGCCAGGCTTTGGTCATCAGCGAAGAGTATTTCATTCAGGGCGTCTGGTTCTGTGTTGGCCTCTTTTGTAATTCTATCCATTTATATGATAAATAGTAGTAGTGACAGGACAGAACCGTGTCTTACTCCGGATGTTATTTCGAACCATTCTGTGAGTCCCTCTGACGTTCTTAATGTTCTCGTAAATGGCACGGATGTTATCTAGAAGTTGGCCTCTTACAGTGTAGTTTCCGAGTTCTTTCCACACCTTGTTTCTGTTCACTCTGTCGAATGCTTTCTCCTGGTCGATAAATATTATATTCAGTTCCCTGTTGTGTTCTATTACCTTTTTCGCACATCTGTCGTAGGGCAAATATTGCGTCGGTGCATCCTCTTCCCTTTCTAAATCCCATTTGGGCCTCAGTCAGAAATGGTTCAACTCTGTGTCTTGTTCGCCATTCCAATATCTTGGCCAACATCTTGCCCACATGGCTTAGCAGTGAAATGCCTCTATACATTCCACAGTCTCTCTTACTGCCTTTTTCCTTCCAGGCTGGTACTATGAGCGCTTTTTGCAAGCCGCCGTGAACTTTCCTTTCTGTCCATGCTTTCTGGAAGATTTTTGTGAGCCAAGTTATTCCAGTTTCACCACATGCTAGGATGGTCTCCGTGGTGAGCTCATCTATTCCTGTGCTTCTGTTTGTTGGGCTGGTTTTAACTGCTTGTCTGACTTCTGATGGTAGGATGGTTGGTTCTCCTTCCTCTCAGTGACTTGGTCGGGATTCTTTGTTTGCTTTTGAGTGGTGTTCAAGAGTTTTGAGAAATATTCCCTCTATCTAGATTTAATTTTGGAGCTGTCTATAATGAGGTTTCCTGTTTTGTCATTAATTATAGCTGTTGGGTTGTACGGTTCTTCTCTGAGCCTCATTGATTTTACACTTTTGTAGAAGTCACCTGGTGATTTATGGCACAGTTCTCTTAGGTGTTATCCATATTTTGTCCAAGATTCTTTTTTTGATGCTCTAACAACTCTTTTGCAGTTCCTTACTTATTTGTCTTACTTGTCCACTGTGTTGGGATCACTGCAGCCGGAACATGTTCATCTCTGCCCCCCCCCCCCCTCTTCAGGATCCAACCCAAAGTCTGGCTGCTTATAGTCCCAGTCATAATCTGGTTGGAGATCCGTCGGACTGGTCTTTGGATCCCCTTCTCCTTCAATCTACCTAGAGTGTGGGAACCACTATCCGCCCTATTCGTCCTCAAATTTTCCCTTACAGCGGTTAGGACGGTTGGTGGGTCCAGAGTCAAATTCCCTCCCACTTTTGCTTCTCCGGCCAGCTTGTCTGCTCTCTCGTTGCCGGTCACCCCCGCATGGCCCGGGCAGAAGATCCAGGCCACTCTTTCCAGGCTGCTCTCCCTGATCGTAGCCTTCCAGTCCGCATACAGCATCCGTTTCTGTACCTTCTGTAGTGTGCTCACTGAGTCAGTAATGATTACTGCTCGCTGATGGCTTGTGTTCTGATGGAGCCTCACTTATGGCTTTTAACTCCAAACACATACTTGATGTTGTCAGTGCAGTTGCTCCACTTTTCTCCATCACTACTACCCCATCAACTCTGACATTGAAGGCCCAGCCAGATTTGTTTCTTCTGTTGACTGATCCATCCGTGAAGATCATAGCATCTCCATGTTCGCTATGCTCTTCGATCAGGGTTTCAATTTCAGCGTTTGTAGCTCCAAGTGGCCAGTTGCGACATTCTCTACCCAATGTTGCCTTCACTGTTGTGAACTCTTCTAGCACATCTTCGACCACGACCCAATCCCTGCCTCTCCTGATGTGTTGTATCTGGCAACAATCGTTGATGGTGTTCGTGGCTTGAGTCATCCATTCTGTGCCCCTCTTTATCCTTGATGTCATCTGCCGTCCCACTTTCTTATGTAAAGGGTTCGTCCCGTCTACGCTGACTCGCAGAAAGGCTTGGACTTGGGCCAGTTTGTGCATCTCGTCTGCACATGGGACGTCTAGGAAGTATCTCATTGCTTCAGCTGAGGTGTCACGTGTGCACCCCAGGATTGCCCTCATTCCTTCATTTTGTAACACCCCGAGTCGTTGCAGTTGCGCCTTTGATAGGGTCAAGAGTCCGAGCCCGTATTCTACGACAAAGAGTACCAGTGTCTGGTAGAGGATGACAAGGATTTTCTGGCTCATCTTAGCTCTGGCCATCATCTTAAGGGCTGTTAGGCCTTTTCTCGCCCTGGAGATTGTTCTCGTGATGTGATCTTTGTCAGAGAGTGTGCGATCAAACGTGATGCCCAAGTACTGCAGAGTGGGTTCCCTCTTCAGCACTTTGCCTCCAATCGATATACTTGGCATGTCATCGTGCACTGCATGGTTATTCAGTGTACACCACAGTGCTCATGCTTTGTCTGGGTCCTGTAAAAGTTCCTTCTTGCTAGTGTGTATTGAGTGTAGTCTTTTCGTCCTTGGATATTATCCATTTCTGAAAAGGTTTCTTCTTTTCTTTGATGGCCTCTTTAACGTTGTCATTCCATCATGGTGTTCCTTTAACGTATCCTCTCCCAATTCTCTTAATTCCACATACTTTAATCAGTGCTTCTGTTAGCAAGTTTTTAAAGAGAGTCCATGTTTCTTCAACGTTCATCAAACTGGTTTCTTGGTTTTTCTAGTCTCTTTGTGATCTCGTCCTCAACTTTCTGCACATTGCCCTCTTCATTCATTTTTCGTAAATTAATTTTCTCTGAATTTTTTTTCTTCTGTTTTCGCATGGGTCTTTTTTTCTCCTTAGTCGTCATCATCTCTGGTCGGTGATCCGTATCAAAGGTGATGTTTGGGATTGATCTTGCGTCAATTGTTTTTGTTCTATAGGCGAATCAGTATGGAGTCGATCTGTAAGGAAAATTCTAGGTTGTTCCATTTGTACCATGACTGAGTTTGATTTGGCCTGTGCTGGTAAAAAGTATTTGTGATGTATAATTCATACTCTGCACAGAGAGCTAATAGTTGTTCCCAATTATAGTTACAATGTGAACTTGTGTCACTGTGTGGTCCAAGATAGTTTTCCCATGGTGTTCTTCTTGGGCCTACGCGTGCATTGAAGTCTCCCATTATGATTAGTTCCTCCTCTTCGGGTATACTGTCTATGGTGTCCGCCAACTTCAGGAAAAAATATTCTTTATCTTCCCTTGAGTATGTGTCGTTACAAGAGGCGTAAACTTGGATGATAGATTCGCTTTTTTGCGCTTTCTGTATTATGATTTTCAAGATCCTTTCTGATATTAATTCTTTCTCTATAACTCTTTCTGCCGTGTCAGGTTGTATTATGAAACCCACATCATGAATAGCTCTCTCTCATATCTACTCCACTCCATATTAGTACGTAATTTTCATGTATTTTCTTGGTCCCACTTCCTTTTAAACGACAATAGGAGTCCAAGTATTGGTACTCTCCACTTTTTCATGAAAGTAATGAGTTCTGGTTCCTTGTCTTTGAGGCCACAGATGTTAAGAGTACAAATCTTTTCTCGTAATCCTTTAACGTTTCCGGGTCGTTTTCCGTCTATATCAGTCCGTTTCTTGCTTCTATTTGTGATTTTAGCAATAAATAATCCTCTGCCGACTTGCAAGGCCTGTCACAGTTTCACCAAAGCCCCGTTAGCCTGCAACTATTCGGGGTGACCCGGGTTCTCCTTCACGGCTAGCGTGACGCTTCAGTGGCATTAAGCCACACCGTACTTGAACCCAGCAATCCCATACTTTGTCCAGTTTCCACCTCCCGGGACGTGGAGCTGGGGTTGGGCTTTGGGAGGATCCTACTAAGTGAAAAACACACATTTGTGTTTCAGGTGAGTGTATGATGGTTTGAAATGTGCGGCATATTACCCATGGTCTGTTGCCGGTCGGCCATATACGAGTCAGCTCTGTCCTTTAGAGTTAAGGCCAAATATGTGTCAGCTCTGTCCTTTAGAGTTAAGGCCAAATATGTGTCAGCTCTGTCCTTTAGAGGTAAGGCTTCTACACTGTTGAGATTGAGTTTGTTGTAATCAATATCAATAAAGATAATAATAAAGATCACCTCTATAGAGCCTACTCCCTAGTGGTCCGAGACATTTCTCAATAAAATAAGATCTGAATTATTAGAATCATGCACACTGGCTTGTGCAACATACAAGAATTCTTTCAAATACATATTACTACACTCATAATATGACAAAGAACACATGCACAAACAGACAATAACCGTGGTTACTGATCCCACTTGTGGTTGGAAGAAGAAGAAAATTAGTAATCTGAGAATCAAAATGCATGGGACGTGGGGAGGGGGGGGGCTAACTTCACACTGAGGGAGCAGCTGCCGACAAGGTACTGTCTCCATTTTTTCAGGGTTTTTTTGTTTTGTTGTTGTTGTTTTTTTTGGGGGGGGGGGGAGGGGGAGTGTTTTACGGCGCTTAATTGCAACTGCATAATATCATACGAGCGCGCGGGACACACAGTACATTTCTAGTTTGTTGGGAACTTTTGAATTTTGCCATGGTGGCGGCCGAAGCCTACTCTTATAATATATATATATATATATATATATATATATATATATATATATATATATATATATATATATTAATACATAATGAGTCTATATATTATACAGTACACAAACAGAGTGAAAGAAAAATACATGACAAACCAACGCAACCATTGAACTGACAAGAAAACAGGAACAAACTTGATAAACAACTTGTTACTTATTTACTCTCGACAAAGTTTCAAATATTGCTTTCTCTCGTCTGTTTCAGAGATAGATCACTTAAGAGACACACCGGAATTTGGGTTTTTGTTATCAGTATACAATAGTCTTGTTCTCTTGTTGGAGATTTACAATATGTGTCTGGACACGGTGGAATCAGGCGCTCGTCAAATTTGGGGCGTAAGGAGTTATTGGTATTCTCTTACAGCTTGTTCATTTGTTTTGCTGTTGGTGAAATGAATATCCATCGATCTTGAATTGGAGTCGAGATGTTTGAAATTAAAGGGGATGGGGGTCGTCTTGTTTAAAAGGTAAATATTAGCGAAAAAATGGCTGTCAAAGTTTGGTGATATTCATAGCTTGAAAGTGCTTGGAAACTGAAAATGTACACTTTTGTGTTTTTAACAAATGTTTTTCCAGTAAAAATCCTCACTGAGATGTGCTTATAAATGGACAAAAATGTGCGGAGTCAAACAACAAAAATTCGATAAAAATTGAATAACTGGCGGGAAAATGACGGTTTCTTTGTTATTTTGACGAGCACCTGATTTCACCACGTTGCCTCACATACTATAATTTTTTTTTCAGCTTCAGAGATCACCTGTCAAGACGTCCCTGCCCCCGAGTTATGGCAGAGACACAGCTAGACCTTCGTGCACGTTCACAATCCAGGCATCAGAGCTGGGGGCAGGAACCCACAGACTGTCAGTCAACATGTATCCACAGTTTGATGGAAGTGGAGAGAATTACGGAGTGACTATAACGATATCTCCTGACGTCACTTTTTGTGAGTCAAAACATGGCCTGTGTTTATGAGTGTGTGTGCGTGCGCGTGTGTGTGTGTTTCTGAGTGTGTGTCTTTGTATGTGTGTGTTGGTATGTGTGTGTGCGTGTGTGTGTGTGTTTGTGAGTGTGTGTTTGTATGTGTGTGTTTGTATGTGTGTGTTTATGTGTGTGTCACTGTGTCGGACTGTACTTTTGTGTGTGTGTGTGTGTGTGTGTGTGTGTGTGTGTGTGTGTGTGTGTGTGTGTGTGTGTGTGTGTGTGTGTGTGTATTACCGTATGTCTGTTACCTATGTGAGCGTGTGTGTGAGTGTGTGCATGTGTGTGTGTGTGTGTATGTGTGTGTGTCTCTGTGTGTGTGTGTGTGTGTGTGTGTGTGTGTGTGTGTGTGTATTACCGTGTGTCTGTTACCTATGTGAGCGTGTGTGTGAGTGTGTGTATGTGTGTGTGTGTGTGTGTGTGTGTGTGTGTGTGTGTGTGTGTGTGTGTGTGTGTATGTGCGTATGTGTTTTGCATGTATAAGGATTCCACAGGTAAAATAGTGTAGATCTAGTCCAAAAAAATTGTGAGGACATTAATTTTATATTCCAGAAGAGTCATAACCTTATTTCTCTTTGACTGTTGGTTTATTATTATTGCCAGTTCAATTGGGGGAAATCAAAAGAAAATAATGCAATCAACAGTCGAACAGAACTTAAGAACTGAGTCAGTGAGATTTTGAAACTGATGTCCCCACGATTTTCATTCTGTGACTGCTCATTTTCCCCGTGGATTTCTCAATGTACTTGTAGATCTATGTGTTTGTGGTGTTACTTAAACTATTCGTCATCATTATTGCCTTTCTCGCCCTGGATCAGGATATAAGCCACGAACAAACGTTTTCTACCTATCCCTATCCTGGGCCAGCCTCTTGATGTTATTACATGTTTTCACACTTTTCTGTACATCAATATCCGTGGTGGCGGGAGTTAAAAACTACCATCTGTGCAGTCTTCATCCAAGAAGAAAGAACGAGATGCCAAATGAGATATTTCCCATCATGGGAATGGAATGGAAATAAGGTTTTTCTCGTCCAATGATGGAAGCCTGAAACTATACAGGTTCCGATCAGGTTATGGTTTTATAAAAATTTTCTTTATTTTTGATAGGCTGAAGATGAAATAGATTGACTGGCCTAACGGAAAATGGTTTGGAATTAGAGGGTATGGGTCAGTAGAGATGGGGAATTCGTTCAACAGATTACTAGGCCTACTACATAAGATTAGTAGATTGGATAGTACTCTAGGTTTTTCTTATTTTCCTCAATAATAATGAATTTTATTTTTAGTACTTCAAGGAACAAGAAAATGTCGCTAAAAGCTCAATGAGAATATGTGTGAGGTGTGCTGACAAAATGAGATACTTCTCGCAGTCCACAAAAGGAGATGTTGTCCACAAAAAAAGGACACATCAATTTTGTAGATTTTAAACTATAATACACTGTCTGAAGCAGATCTATACATTTTTTGAATATCAGTCTATGTCTGCAAGGCTAAAATTCGTGAATTGACTTATTTTGTCAGCACATCTCACATATAAAAGTATAAACCGAATTGGAAGTTGCTAGGTTAAAAAATACATTGGTCTGTAGGCCTACATGCAATATCCTTTGACATGAAGAAAATTTGGAAAAATATCTTACTTTGTGAATTAGATTCTTCTTTCCTCTCAATAATTTTTTTAAAAAATAGACGAAATGAAATTCTGATTGTTATCTTCCTAGTAAAAGCTCTGGTTAAAACTTTAAGTGTAGGGTTCAAGAGTCCTGGTGCATTTGCTTATGATTTAAATACATTTGAAATTTGATTATGTTTTATAACCCAGACTGTGGTGAGGGTCATCACAAGTCTGTTTTTTTATTTCGTCGTTTTATCAGCTTATCCAGTACCCGAATTCGTCAACTGTCCTTCTGGAGCCCAGGTCAAGCGCAATTTTATCATGTCCGGATCAACAGCCACTTGTGGATGTCGTCAGAAAACTCCGGGTTTTCCCCAAGGCACGGTTGTTCTGTCTCAAGGGGGGTCTACCCTGGGCTCAGGAACTATCGCCTCAGGGAGTGTCGTCAACCCTGGTGAGTTAAACAGTGGAGTTTTTTGGGGTTTTTTATAGTAAGGTTTTATGTCAACAGAGAAGTCCAAACGGGCAATCAGGGTTACTCTGCTCACCTCTCCAGCCTCAACAGCACAAAGTCTGCTTCGACTACCAAGGCACCCCGGAAATAGCAGTTCACAAGAGAGTGACAAACATACACAATAAGCAGAAGAAAAATGACAATAATAAGAATGAGGAAAGAAATATCACCAGATCTCCCTGTGTTGTTCCGGCACAGTATGAGCATAACATTGATAAATCAGCCCATTTACAATTCTACTGTGCATAAGAACATGTTAATATTCTCCCTTTGGGAATGGCCTAAAGACACTTCAGTCAGTAGCACTGCCGTGGTGTGTGTGTGTGTGTGTGTGTGT